TATATAACATTCATAAAACATTATTCATTGTTTCAGGATAAGTTGTGGCAATGTTTTCTAAGGAATGCAGATTCTGAGAAATCGGAACCCGTTTCCAGAATTCATAACGTTGGTATGGATAGTGCTAAACTGCAGTGTTGTTTTAGAGCTACAACTATGACATGTCAAAGGTTATGCATAAAGGTAACTCTCTTCTTGTGACTATATACATGTAATATAAAGAATTTTATTTTTTTTCAAAAAGTGAAACGTAGTACTTCTATTATAGACATCCGCACTGTACACAACTAAACTTTCTTAATTAAATCTATCGTCAGGAAACACTACCCAATCTCTGTGAATGATTAAAATAATTTCTGTTTGTATTTTTAGACTTACAGTAGTGAATGGGAAGAAAGTTGGATTGAATTTGAGCAACAGTGTCAGTACCAATTGGCTGAATCACCCATGTTGAGGTGTCTCTCTGAAGGTTAGTCTCATAAAATGGTCTCAAACAAAACTATTAAATTGATGCAGTCTAAACAGACGTAAGAGACTGGCAAATAAAAAAGAAAATTACGCAATTAAAGTAACTGATTAAAACTACGATACAAACAGATTTCCATTGATGAATAAAATACTGTTTATTTTGAAATGGACTATTTTTGCAGTGATTTTCTTAGAATTAAAAACTATATAGGAAGAAAAACTATATAGGTCACTATATAGGAAAAAATATACAGGGTGGTCCTAAAATATGTGTCAAAAATGTGAAGGTAGGTAGAGGGGATATAAATAAGCATATTTCGGATATGAATGTGTGTGCGGTAATGGCACATTAAAGCACTAGATTGTAAAGCAGTATGAATCAGAGGAAACTGAAAAGACGAAAGAAAACTCGATTCCCTACCGGCTGAAGGCGGCATTACCGCACATACAATCCTACATGAAATATGCTTATTTAGGCCCCCTCTACATTTTTGACATATATTTTAGGACCACCCTGTATAGGACCACACTATATTAGGAAGGAACTTTTCTACCCGGATGTTCTAATGAATAGTTTACTGAATAGAAAACTTTATGCCTCGGTCGTTATGGTGCTCTTATAATGGGGGATAAGAGTAAAATTAATATTCGTCACCGGCAACAAGGCGATTTAATAAATATCGATTAAAGAACTGAGTAGGGGAGAGTGGGGTCAATTGT